AGGGGGCCGGACGGCACAAACACAAAGAGAAAAAAACCCAAGTCATCATTTTCTCTATTTGAGGTATTGAGTTACACACATCTGATTCTATTTTACCAACGCTCATTGCTGGCAAACTGGGCTACACCAAACTGAGTTTGAGAGGAGACGGAACGCAGGAGTGAACGAACAGAGACGGAGAGGAGTACAAAATCAATAATTGTTTTAAATGCAGCCCCTCACTTACATTAATAGCAGCCAGGACTGCTGTAAAGGTTTTGAATTATGGTATAATAATTCAATGACGTTTTCAAGGAGCATGAGCAACAAAAAAAAACAGAATTTTATACCAAACTGTCTTGCAGAATTCTGATGCATTTTAATTATATATATATATAAAAAATGTAATCAATACATATATACACAATAATATTGTAAATTATATGAATCAATATTCAGCATCATTGTAATTGGCATGCAAAGACATAAAGGCACAAGGAAAGTTATTCTCTGTAGCTTTGTAATAGGCCTGTTTGCCTGTGAACCTCAACATTTAATCTACTTTTGACATTAGGGGCAAATGAGGCCAAATGCGACCACATCTTACTGATTAATGAACCAAAGTGCACATAGTCCACAACACAGCAAAACTGAATTAGCAATGACTGAGAGAACATTGCATCACAAAACATGTAGCAATTATACAAAACAAAACTTTTTTTAATCTACATTTTATATTAGAAATGCTTTAGTAATGTTTTCCATTATGTTACTGGTCAGTAAGCTATCACTATCAACTGTAAGGGCTGTAAATCGAAGTTTATGATGAAATTCTGCCAGAAAAAAATCTAATTAAATAAAAAGTGACATCAAACAGAAATAGTGGAATCTATTTTATCTATCTAGTCTATAATGTTATAATAAACAGAAAAAAATATAATCTGAATTAAAGTAACTGTTGTCTCATCTATTCTTAGAAATATTATGGATAGCTAAATCTATCTCAAAACAGCCCTGAAGACATGAGATACAAATAAAGAGATAAACAAGTCTCCCCATGTTATCAAACCAGTCCAAAAAAAACGGGTATGAAACAAATGAATCTAATTCAAAACTGTTACATACATTTAAAAAAAATATCAATAATAAAAATAGGCGGGAAAAAAATTAAACAGGCGAGGGAATCTATATAACATGCAGTCTCAGGGAGACTGTAAATTAGACACGTCCGAGTTCATCTGCACCCGCGAGACGCGTTTCTGATGATAATTAAAAGAAGCCGATAGGCACTTTATGTTTAAGAATTGATTAATTATTTGTAGTCCTAATAATACAGCGAATTAAATAGCAACAAGTCGGTATAACACGATATGGATCATAAATGTTCTCTGCAGTCTTCTGGCGCTCATTACATATGAGGAAGTATTTTGAACATAGTTTTTGGTGACGGCGTGACAGTTCCGGATGTTTAATCACGTTAATGTATTTCAGTATTGAGTTGGCAGCATTGATGCGGGGTCAGTAGTTTTTGACCGGTGCTGTGAGGTGCGTGTACTCACTATCTCTGAGCGGCCGTCACGACACGCGTTCTGGAAGCGCGCCTGCCTCTCCTCGTGCGGCCGATCGCGGAAACCGGTGTATTTAATCTGTAAACAGGGATGAAAGAGTCACAAAAGAAAGAGTCTTGTTATAAAGGAGCTTCATTAGAGTACACTGTAAAAATGTTTTAAGCATTAATAACAACATATTTATGTTCTTCCATTTAACTTGTCACAATATTTTCCGTTCTTTATGCTCAGTTTTATGGTAGCCTATGTTTTGTTTAAATTTCAATGGGATTTCTTTAGTTCATCAGAGTTTGAATTTAAAGTGGTCAGAAGAATGTAATGAACTTATTCTTGCATTTTGTGACTTTGATGCCACTTTGATTTCAGCTAATATTAGTATGTGGCCTGAGGTGAAGTAATTTGAGATTAAAGCCGAATAATGAACATAAATGCAAGCTATCGGAAAATATGTTGAAAAAAATAACAAAATGCGCACGTTTGAAAAGCAAATTGCTTGATATTGTTTTCAATTTGGATATTAAGCAAGCATATTTTCGTTACTGTACTAGAGTTAAAAGGTGAGGTGCAAAGGTGCGTCTTTTAAGTCTACGCTGCATCTATATTTTTGTTGATACATGCTTGCGATATATAAAAAGTAATTTAGTAATTTCCGTGAATGGAGGGTTAAAAACTTTTCTCAGCAGGAGCATTAGCGGTCGCTGCACAGAGGCTGTTAAAGAAAGAGGCGATGACACGCTTGTTTTCATGTCACACGAGAGGTGCAACTTTGTTTCCGCCACTTTATCAAATGTCTCTCGGATGAATCGAGCTCACCTCGCACTCGCGACTGAGTTTCCTGAAGAACTCCTCGTTCTCGAACTTGCTCCTCTGATCCGGGACCACCCGAGGCATATTGAACGCGATTTGATCAATTTTGTTAATTTGTATTTGTCTAAACTTGCAAAGAGAGTGACGCGTTGCCTTGAAACTCGCAAGTCCCGCTCTTATTTCCTTCCGTCTTTTCTCTTCTTCTAATGATGGAGTATGATGCAGTGAGCTTTGTGTTCTTTAAAATGTAAAAGCTCACTCGGATTTCGCCTCTTGTGGGGTCCGTGAGTTGTGAGTTGTACTGCTCTAGATTTGGCAGTAATCTGCAGTTGGCTTGTTGTTCTTCCTCACTCTCGCGCGTGTGATCTCCGACTGCTGACAACAGACACTCGCTCTACTTTATCCGTCGCATGAGCTGCATGGCTCACAGTTACTTCCTGGCTCCTCGGAGTCCGACTTATGACTGTACACCCAAAATACTCCCCCCATTCACAATTCTCTCCACTATGGACCGTGTGTGCGCAGGCGTTAAATACACCACAACTTCACTGCGCGAGATGCTTGGTATTTTTCGTTCTCGTAGTCTTAATAGGAACAGAGCTTAAAGTTGTTACCTGTGATAGAGATTGTGCAGATTGGTGTTTATAAACACGTGTTAGCGTATTTCTTAGAAACAAAATGACTTGCTCCCATCAGAGAGGATGTTCACATTGTTATAGATATGAACCACAAAATGTAAAATATTACAGGCCTATATTTTTAATCTTGTTATTACCTAAATCAATTTTGAGACATCCACATCAGTTTGTAATCCGCCCAAGATAAACAAATGTGCACAAAAGACAAAGAACTGTCTTTATAGAGAGACGGACGGACGGACGGATAGATAGATAGATGGATGGATGGATGGATGGACAGATATGAACTCATTTCTATAATGATTTTAGTATGTTCTTGAGAAGATGAGTGAATTACAACATCTGTGGTAAATATTTGGGTGTTCAGACATATCTTTCTTTAGTGTGCATGTTTTGAAGTTGCAACTTCCCTCGGGACAGAGGGGGAGGTAGAGAAAAGACAGCGAGAATGGGGAAGTGAATGCAGTACCAGAAACATCCAAAGGCCTTCAAGCCGTCAGATCTAGCAGACAGACTGCATCACTTTTGTGTGGCTTACCACAGCTATCGTGTGCGACTTTCAAATGTTATAAGTGCTTCAACTGTCAGAATGTTGCTGCATGTATGATACTACGGTTAAAAGTAGACAGCTGATGAGTAAAGACTTTTCTATCTTCACTGCATTTGTAGCTTGTTCATTTTGAACTCAGCCTGGGTTCTATACTTCTTACATTGTTCATTTCTTTGTTATTAAACACACCCATCTGTTTCTGGCTGTCACATTAAAGACGATAGTTATGTGTTCTCAGTAATTGTGGAAAAATGTCAGATGGAAATATATTGGTATAATCGCCACCTAATTTAATTCAAATTTAATTGTATTGCCAGTGCACATAAAAAAAACACTTATATCTACAAAAACCATTTGCACTAAATTAAAATTGTAAAGCAAGTGTACAGTGTGTGTGTGTGTGTGTGTATGTGTGTGTAAAGACCCATGTAAAAGCTTACATTACCCAAGCAATTATTAGTTTAGCACCCATTAGCCGTAACTGGGTGCACATATTCCCTCGGCCCACTAATGTATGTTCTCATATTAACACTCCTGTTGTGTAGTAGACCTGCATTAGTGCCATTAGAGTTGAACAACATTGTATAAAATGTTTAGCAAATTTTGACAAGGCTCATAAATTATAAGAGATTACAGTATGTAAATAAAAACATGACCTTATAAACCATGTAAGAGGTCTGGGATGTAGCTGACATTTAGCTGATTGTTATCATGAAAAGAAGCTCTGGACAGCACAAAAACACTGGCTCAATCTGTCTGTCTATCTATCTATCTGTATGTATCTTTATCTGATTGTCAGTGATTCTTGAGACATTTGTTTTAAAAATGAAAATTAGATTTCTCGTTTTTTTTTTTTTCAGAATTATGACATGCATGATCACTCACTAACCCTAAAATACTAGCTTAGTGCAGATTCAAAAATATAGCCTATCTAATAAACAAGAAATCAAAATATAAATTTATCTTTAAAGAAAAAATATTACTTTGTCCTGAAAGAAGGAAGATGTCTATTTTAAAAAGATACATCTTTTATTAGGTTTAGCAGCTGTGTTCCTAGTTTTTTTGTCAACACCATTAGTTATGTAAAAATACATACTGTAATTAGATCGTATCAAGTCAGTCGCCATTCTGAAGATTCTTTTTCCATATTTCATATGAGGTCACACAGGCTCTGGTGAGTAGTTTTCGTATTTTTGTCTTATAAATTTGTAGGTTTCACTTTATTTTAAGGTGTCCATGTTATAGTGTAATTATACATTTAAGTACTGAGAAATATTAATTAACTATAGGCCTACATGTAGCCTATTACTATATGGTTAGGGTTAGGACTGGTTTATATAACCCCTATAGGATTACTTGCATGTAATTATGCATAATTTGTTATTATTATAATAGTAAGTACATGTAACATGTAACAAGGACACCGTCAAATAAAGTGTTACCGATTTGTATTTTATAATTTATTGTTATTGATGTTATTATTATTATTATTATTATGTTTTCATTTTATGTAATTAGTTATGTAAATAAATAAAAAATATTTGATTTTCTGTCAATGACAGCTCCATCACAAATATATCCAAAATTACAGTAACACTTTATTATAGGGACCAGTTCTCACTATTAACTTGTTGCTTATTAGCATGCCTATTATTAAAGTGCCCCTATTATGGGTAATGAAAGGTTCGTTTTTTGGTTTTGGGAGTCCCCAATAACAGGTTGACATGCATGCAAGGTCAAAAAACACTTTAATTTTCTTATAATATGCATTTATTTTTACCTTACTTGCTCAACGACTCCCAAACGATTCGCTCAACAATTCATTTTTCTAAACCCCTCCGTTGCATGACGCTAATCTGCGGTGATTGAGCCGATTGGTCTTGTTTTCATTTCATCATGCCTGTAATGCCTGATAAAGCCTTTATACATGGTGCACTTTCAGATTTAAAACTTTGCAGGATGTTTTCATTAACTTAGAGCTGTGTTACACACTGCATGAAAGGTAATTCTCAAAAATCCATAATAGGGGCACTTTAACAGATTTGCTATTTATTAGTACTTATAAAGCACATATTCTGCATGACCATATTCTACACTACATCCCTAATCCTACCCAATACATAAACTTAACATCTACCTTACTAACTAATAAGCAGCAAATAGGAGTTTATTGAGGCAAAAGTCGTAGTTAATGGTTTGTTTATAGCGAGAATTGGACCTTAAAATAAAGTGTGACCAAAATTACATATAGGCCTAAATAATATTTTAAAATATAAATAGGCTAGCTACTATTTTTGCATCAGCGGGGAAACCGCTATTTTTACCGCTCCAAAAGCGGCACCTAGTGGCAAAGAATGAATTAGCATTTTCATTCTGACCAACGCGAAAAGACCAACAAGTGGGCCGGGCATATGCTAATGTTTCATGTTGACGTCAACATGAAACGGCTTGGGATTCGTTTTAAAAACGACTCTTTCAATAATTCAGAGTCGACTCTTTCATTTGAGAGACAATAACTTTATAGACGGTGCACTTTCAGATTTAAAACTTTGCAGGATGTTTTCATTAACTTAGAGCTGTGTTACACACTGCATGAAAGGTAATTCTCAAAAATCCATAATAGGGGCACTTTAACAGATTTGCTATTTATTAGTACTTATAAAGCACATATTCTGCATGACCATATTCTACACTACATCCCTAATCCTACCCAATACATAAACTTAACATCTACCTTACTAACTAATAAGCAGCAAATAGGAGTTTATTGAGGCAAAAGTCGTAGTTAATGGTTTGTTTATAGCGAGAATTGGACCTTAAAATAAAGTGTGACCAAAATTACATATAGGCCTAAATAATATTTTAAAATATAAATAGGCTAGCTACTATTTTTGCATCAGCTGGTGTTGACCCATAGATAAGGATAAACTTGCTCCCAAGGTGATAAACTTTGAACATGTTGAAGATAAATTTTAAAAAAAATTAATTGATACTGTAGACATAAATGTCTATTTGTTAGTCTTTTTTGTTCCAGCAGTTTACTCAAGAATCAGTGTTGTCTATCTGTGTGAGTTCGCGTCTGCGTGCTGTATTTACACACACACACACACACACACACACACACACACTAGGCTGCTCTCAGAAGGCGACGTCAGTGACTGAGAATCAGCAGCAGTTTGAGCGCCTGAGATGATTAACGCTGTTACCGAATCTCCACGGCTCTCCCGGTTCTCACGCGCACTGCGCGTAAACGGCGCTAGACGCTGGTGACAGTTGTCGCTGCTGGACTCGTGCCCTGAGGAAACCGAAGGGGGTGCAGCAAGGTCAGACGGCTAGACCTCCCGAGTTTGGCACTGGTGTCCGTCAGTCAGTCAGTCTTCCCGACTCAGGCGAATCGCTCATTGAGACAAAGCAAAATAACTACAGTTGAAAACACTCTCAGATTTCAGGCGGGAGTATGTTTCCCGCCTGAAATATGACCGTCTGTTCTTCAGTGTTATTATTCGCGAGTCGCCAACGGTGAGAGAGCCTATGTGAGGCTCGGTTTATTTCAGAGTGGACATAAAATCTTACTTTGCGTCACGTTTGCTGTCTAAAAGAGGCCAAATGTTTATGTCATGACATTTGCAGAAAACTAACCCCATCCGCAAGCATTTTAACGTGCTTTGTATAGTGACTTGTGACTTCTGCATTCACATGTAGGTCTTCCTTTTATAATCAGGTATATTTGGGAGAGAAAATATATGAGAAAATAAAATGTCACTGTGACCGTCTGTCGGTGAGGTCGAGTTGATGGGACTATTTCAGTTCCGGATCTGTCCACCAGAGGGCGGGCTTGATCGCGTGTTTTCTTCTATTGCTCATTGTGTTTTCTATCATTGTGTTATTTTCATACACACAACCAAACTAATAAAATCTATCTATCTATCTAATTATGAAACACAAAAATATCACACTGTTGTTCTGGTCAACAAATGTTGTAATTAATAAACTATATAAATGTAAACAATGTACAGTCTCTAGAGGAAACACATTTGTGTAACTAGCCTTTTGACTTATACGGAACCTCATAATTACTAGATAATTATTAGACAAATCCTATGTGATGAGTTTGTAACTCTCTATTTATCGATGTACTCTTTTCAAAGATGTACTTCAAGGATTACGGTGTTTGCATCCTGATTACAGAGTCCAGAGGTTT